TGTATACACTATAGGAAATTCACCCATCAGAGTGACGTTTGGAGCTATGGTAAATAAATCTTCCTTGTGAAATAAGGCTTTTAGGTCTATGTAAAATATCTTAAGTCAAATTATTTTATTGTGCTGGAGTTATCTGTTTATAAGTCTCATTTCTTGAATTAACTCTTTGCTCTTCCTTTAAAAAACAAAACAAAACTTCTAAATGGCATTGTTACCCATCTTTTTTATTTCCTAGTTCTCTAAAATGTAATATACTAATATCCATGCTGAGTTGTCTGCCATACACTCTGGTTTGATAGCTACTTGGTTGATAATATTGACCAAAAAAAAAAATCATTTTTAGTTTGGGAACAGATTCACAGAATCTCATGACCTTAATCAACAAGTCTGAAAATATTACTGTGAATACGATAGATGTTAAAAAACAAACAAACAAAAACCATTTTTTGGCTTATGTGAGTTTCTCTTCTACAGTCAGAAAATAAGAGATTTTCTCATAACACAGAACAGATACTAAAAGCAGTAGCGTGAGACCAATGAAAGTGAAGGGAGAGGTAAGGGAGAAGATTCCTTACTGCAGCTTTGGTTCTAGTTTGCACCCATTTTGGGAGTAAACCGAAATGTTAGAGTGATTAATATGAACTAGAAAAGGGTGATTTTTATAATTAGAGCATTTATTTAATTGTATTTAACTGAATTGCCAAGGTGAGCTATTAAGCATCTGTCTGCTATTTATGACTTAAGTCCAGGTGTTAGAAAGAATGAGTCAACATTTTTTCTACCTTTAATCATACCATATAAAGCTAACATTTGTAACTCACAAATAAAGGGCATAATACCCATTACCCATTTAAACAAAAAGGGTAGCAATGGGGTTTAAAAGCATGGTGTAATTTACTCTCTTCAGCTTGAATTTAAACTTCTTTTTTAATTTTTAGAAAAAACATGTCAGCATTATGATCACTAAAGAACTTACACTGCTCATCTAGAAAAGAATAAATTATCCTTTTTAAAATTTTATGTAAGACAGTT